CCATACAATTCAAGGAGCACATCAGAAAATAGTACATTAATTATAGACAATGAAAGAATGGTTCTAAAAAAATAGAAAATCAAGAAAAGTGGAAAATTTAAAGTTTTAAATCTTGGATAAGATAATCCAACATCTCAGTTTGATTGACATCAGACATCAATTGTATTGTGTCAGTTTGTTGACATTTGCAAACAAACTGACACAATTTACACATGATTTGTTTATGAGTCAGATTGTATCACTGTCAAATAAGATTCTTGTTATATTAATAGTAAGCATACACTTCTGTCTTCTATCTGCTGCCATTAAAATAAAAAAATCTTACACTTAGAACTTGGACGTGACTACACAGAGGATTGTGTCCAATCGTACAGCTGTCTCATATACTCAAAACTAAGACAACTGTTTAGGTGAAATGATCTTTTCAGCTCATTTTATCAGCTTGCAAAGTTTTATGTCATTTCCATATCATTCAAAATTGTTGCTCTTTAATAAAATGTCAAAATGGAAAATTAATATTGTGTCTTAACTAATAAAATGTGTGGGTCCTCAAACTGCTAGGTCTATGTACAGTTATTCCCACTAGATGGCGCTGCAATACCTGAAGAAAAACTCAACTCAAGTACATGTATACAGAGAATATTCCCCCAAGTATATTCTTAAAAGTTATTTAAAGATTTAATCTGTTATGTGTTTTGGAACATTTGTAATGGAGTTAATTTAACTGTCATAAAAATGAGAAATAAATAAATACATTTTTAGAGTATCTGTGGTCAGCACAGAACATCTGACCTTTTATATGTTAACTCTTTGCAGAAAAGAAACAGAAAGTAGAAGTGATCTGTTAATATTTTTGGTGAATAATATTGAATCTCAATTAATCTCAATGAATATTAAAAATAAAAACAATCAAATTTAATTTTATTTAATTTGATTCTAGCTACAATGTCATTTGTCTGCTTTCTATAAGGAATTCATTTTTTCAAGCTTCCTCATTCCTAAAACTTTGCTTTCCTTTTTTTTTTCTAAATGTAGCAATGAGCATCAGTTTTTTTTCTTATCAGGATTATGCTTGAGATGCAGTATTACATAAGGCCTGTTAATCAATTACTAATTGTGTCAGTGCACAATTGGTGAAAGTCAGTATGAGCAGGGCTGTGCGACATAAAGGCAAAGATGTAAGTGAGTGTGTTTGGGGCACACAGCTGTTCTTGGAGCTCAAGTCTTCTCCTGTTTCTGCTTCCTTGGAGCTGACACTGGTGTGAATAACCAGAGGATGATGTCACAGGCTCAGTAGCAGGCCAGGCGGCCATACAAAGCCAAGCTCAGTTTCCACAGAGACCTGTCAAACATCAAAACAATCTGTTCTCTGACTGTGCATTAATGTACAAGGGTGTTTTGGGGTACACTTGGCATTGGGTCACTCTTCCGGTAAACTTTCATAGCAGAGCTCAGCAAGCCTGGGTGAACCGAAATCACCTATTCAAATCAAATCAAATCAAATCAAATCACTTTTATTGTCACATCGCATGTGCAGGCACACTGGCACAGCACATGCGAGTGAAATTCTTGTGTGCGAGCCCCACAAGCAACAGAAATGTGCAAACACAACAACACAAACCAGCAAATACAAGAATGGCTACATATTCAACAATGTACCTGCATGCATTCCAACATTTTCTGATATTATGAAAATGTTTAGCCTTAATCCCAAAAAGAATAATTAATTTTCAATCAAAATTCCAAGAATAGCTGGCTCCTCCTGTTTGTCCGTGGGTGTACCCCTCTCCCCATGGGTCCACGTCGTCACCTCACCACTCAAACCATCTTGGATCTGGGAACTGTAACATCCCAGCTGAATTAGAACAGTGTGTTCCCATGCAGCTGGTGTTTCATGTAGCTGAAATAGTAGTGATTTATCTCAGGAGGCTGCTCCACAGGCAGCAACATGAAAGAGTTAATCCCCACTTTATGCAACAAATTTTTATGGCCATAATAATAGGACAGGGGCTCTCCAAGGTTCAAAAACGGTTCTTCTTTAGGTTACATTACAAAATAATATGAGTTCAATCTAACACTTGATTAGCAAAGCTCTCAATACAAGCTACTGCACGGTGGGTCAAGTGGGTCAGTGTAAGTTTACATCACCATTTTATGAGGATTACCACAACACCAGTGAACATGCCCGTCTGTTTATAGGCTTCAAAGCAGACAAATAACAGACATACATTTCTGTTGATCAATACAAAGGTACCAATATGGTTTTACATGACAAACTGCAGACCATCTATTCATAAACAAATGTTATAACTCTTAAATTGCAAAAAAAGTACATAAACAGTCATAACTATTTGTTAAAGACCAAAGGGTAACGTTCTTTGGTGGCCAAGTAAGACTAATCTGAGGAAGAATAGTGAAGCTAATTTTTTTTTTTAAAGAAAAATCAAATTATCTCTTTTGTTGTACCAATGACATTATAATTGGAGAAACATTGAAGGACAAGAGGAAGCTGCGAGTAAAAGGTTCATGAACACGTGCTGAAAGGTCACTATTTATTAGAAGTCCATAGAGGTGGTAAATAAATGCCACAGTGAAACTGAAGAGCTGATGGGTGTCCAATCTGCTTCAGTTTTTTTGCTCTATGTTTGTCACCATCGGGGACACACACGCACACACCCCTCTGTACACATCGTGAATGACAATGGTCCTGTTGTCGTGGGATGTCCATTACCACACAGGTTCTAATGACTGATTATAACAATTTACATTTGCCCCACAGGACCCCCCTTTTATTTTCTGATAGAAGCACAATTATCTTTGCAAAAGAGATAATGGTATAAACAAAGCCAGAGGTAGTGATCTCAGAGAGCATCATTAGTAGCCCCCCTATAAATCTGCACCACTAAGCCACTACAGGATTTTGTGAAGAGCTATAAATGGCAAAACATGAGGCAATAGACATGCAATGCTAAAATTATGCACTCCACTACAGACCTCATGTGCACTGAGATTTGGAGAGAGATTAAGACCTTAACATGGGACAGGGCATAACATTCCTGGGATGTTCCAAATAGTAAGGAAAACAAACTTCTGAGAAAACCTTGGAATGGTTATTGATGTTTTAGCTGGTATCTAACCAGGTCTTTATTTTTTATATGGATTGTAATTTTGCAGGCAGATAAACTGGTGTACTTGAGATTTTTCTCCACTTGACCAGAAGCATAAATATATGTTTCTTTTTTTAATTTCCAGTTATTATATATTGGAAATTCCTCTTCCATCAGCAGGTTTCCTACATGCTTAAGGGGATACATGTTCAAACACAGTCACATGACAGTCTTCTGGTTTCTGTTCTGTTTCACCGCCCTGATGTGCTTTCATCACTCTGTATACACCCCAATGGAGAATATCCACAACACGCAACTGTGTTTTCCAGCCTCTCTACAGCTGACTGACGTACAGCCAAATACAAGATCCTGCAGCCTATACATGTCAGTCACCAGTGTGTGTGTGGTATGCTATAACTAATGGAATCCATAATGAATTGCCCAACTGTGTGTTCAATTTCCATTGCTTCCAAGAGTCTTAACATATTCCATTTAAAAATGTTCTTTTAAAATTAAATTCTTAATTTAATCTAGGTTGTTAAATCAAATCACTGCGTCACGGCCCTGGCAGGGAGCTACAAAAGAATATGACGAATGGATGGAACAGAAAAATGTAAATAGATGAAAGGAAGTCATGCAGGCATGTGTAATATGATGAGCATACGTAGTAACCCGAGAGATAATGCAGTTTGATACCTTTGAACTTGGACGAACACACTCATTGTAGTAGTATCAGTGCCAGTCAGTTCAAAGACAAGTTTGGGGGTTTGGAGTGTGTTTATCATGGAAGAAGTCTATATAGGTGACAAATAAAACATTTGTTAATGTCACTTATGCATCCGGTTATCAGCCTTGCAAGTTAATTTAATTTCTGCTTAATATTGAGATTGTCCCAGCATTTTGTTTTCAGACTGAGCCAAGTATTTGAATCAGTCTTGAATCCCTGGAGAATAAAACCACATTAGTCTGACTAAATAAATAAAAATTAAATGAACTTGTTCATAAATGCTCACTCTCTCTCTCTCTCTCTCTCTTTCTCCCTCTCTCTCTCTGTTTGTGTGTGTGCAGCAAAGTGTGTGTAGATGTGTCTGTGCATCCTTGTATGAAGATTAGAGCCCATATCTCTTTGGGAGTCAGTGGGATCTGCCTATATAAGGCTGTTCTATTCCTACTGCTTTTCCTCTGGGGACACAATGCAATTGTCAGCCACTGAACAATACATGTCTGAGAACTTAGCAAACTTCACTGTCTTGAATAAACATATATATATAAATGGTTTTACAAGAGGTGATTCTGGGAAATAGTGGGCTAAATGCTGTTGCATGCTGACTTCAAGCTGTTTTTGCTATGTTCTACTTATACTCGAGAGTTTCCTAACGCCACACTTTTTAAATAGGAAACTACGTGACCGTAAGAATGTGCTGCTCATGTTAATGCGCTCAAAACTAAAGGCGTCATCCTTTTGACTGACAGGCTCAAATGATTCTTTAGCACAGCCTGTAAACACAGCTAAAAAGTTGGACAGAGGATACCCAAAGAGAAAATCTTTTTTGTCTTTGGGAAACTGTAATTCACTAATAACAGAATGAGAAAAAAAGACTTAACCATGTTTCTTTAAATTCTTTTCCTGGTATCTGGTGAATTAACAGATCTGGACATGGAAAATGTTTTGTTTTATTTTTCTTTTGTTTTTGTTTTTAAAGCATCTTCTTGATTTTTTTTACATTTATTTCTCTACTTAAGATATATATTTGGTGGATCCATTAGAGTTTTTTCCCCCCTCTTTATAAAACAGCTACAAAGATGAGTTTTGGAAAGTGTGATGTGCTCTTGTGCCTATTTGCAGGCCAACTATAAATAGTCCAGGAACCTACGCATGCTCATGTTTGATTGGAAATTGCAGTGCCTTAAGCCATTGCTGTGGGGTGTCTGTCAAAGGAAGGAATGAAACTTGTGTATGGTGAGTTAACTGTGTAAAATAGACTGCTGAATGTTGTTTATGTAGCTACTGGATAAGCACATGCAGAAGATGTAAAGTATATCTTAACCTAGCATCTCTTGTGCTGAATAATTGTGTTTTTAATATACAACATTTGTTTTTAATGTTTTACAACTTTATTGTTTTAAAGTTTAAACTCTTCTCTTGGCAACAAAACAATATCTGGTGGAAAATGACTTCATGGAGGACAACAAGACGCTCGTCTAATGGGAATGGGCGGTCTTCCAATGGGGAAGATGTCAATGGAAGCGGCCGCCTTGGTGGCTGCAGCTACCTCTCTAATGTGAGGCCAGAAAACAGGTACAGAATCCAGACTAACTCAGGGTGCTGTCCTTCCACTTGAACCATCTCTGCTGGGAACATGCAGTATGTATGATCCCAGCATGTATTTATTCTATAATATATCTATAATTCAGGGTTTTACCTAACCTGGGATGAGCATGTGTTGCATGGTGTTTTTTTGTTTGTTGTTGCCATGGACGGCAGAGTTTAAATAAACTGCTTATTAAGAGCACAATCTCAGCTATGCACCATTGGCCCCTTTTCACATCAAGGATACACGACAGCGTCTGCATGGGAAGATTTGTTTATAGCACAAGTAGGTGTTGCTCTTCAGGTCCCCTTTTTAATTAATCTTGTGTAATATTTGATTAAACTGCTGTTCTTCTTTAAACTACTGACACATGGACAAACCGAGTAACATTATCTGCCAGTTATCTTGCATTGTTGCTTTAGGGGAACTTTCACTCTGTCAGCCTCAGCTGAACTTTGCAGAGACCACTGATTATGTCCTTTACTTAGCATATCTAGTGTATTACCAAAGCTAAAATCAAGAATTACCAGTGATTTGTGTTCCTGATTTTAGTTACTGAATCATTACTGAATCTAATTTTCTGTTCTCCATCTGTATTGTTTTGCTAAATGTATATATATTCACAATATCTTGTTTAGTGTTTGCTTCAAAACAATAATAGTACCAACTGTATAACATTTAGTGCCTTGTTTATTAATCATGAGTAATATTCAGTGAAGTGTAATGATCTCACCTGACTGTACACTGATCTAATACTCAAGCCTTTATCATTTCATTCATATCTTTGGACGATCACATTTTTCATGCAATGAATGTAAATATGGGCTAAATGTAAAGCTTTTTATACTGAATACTGTAGTGAAAGATCAAAGAAACATTTTATTTAAAAAACAAAACAAAACAAAACAAAAAAAAAAACAAGTTAATTGTATTTGCCTCCAAAACTCACAACTGTTTTGGCCTTTGATTTCAGTTCTTACATTCATCATTTTACATATATTTTGACTTGGGACTTTCTTTTAAATGATATGAAAAAACTAGCAAACAATCAAGCCCAATATGTACAGATAAAAAACTCCAATAAACAAGGTTTTTTAAATGATAAAAGACATATGAATCCAAATAAGTACCATGACTGACCAACTCCATTTTCTTGTAAGGAGCACACTCTGCAGTGTGATTGCTCATTTAACTGAAGAAACACAGCCGTCCTTTGAAGCTACCCTGAAGTCAAAAGCTGTGTCCGAAAATTCAAACGTGAAGTTTTCCTGTGTGGTTAGAGGTAAGCATTGCCTACTCCATACA